CACAATAAATCTGTTAGTCTTTAAGGTGCCACCGGATTCCTTGTTGTTTTTGTGGATACAGACTATCACGGCTACCCCCTGAGACTATTCATCATTCAAGAACCTTTAAGATTGTTATTTAGCATTAGCTGCAATTTAGCAGGCATCCCAGTAACAGAAAAAACTGTTGGTCAATGGCAGAAACTTTTATTAAGTAGCCTCACAAAGTAGCCTGTATCATATCCAATGGAGTATTTTAGGGTTTGTCTACAAGGGGCACTCAGGAAAATTAATCCAAATTAACTAAAAGTGTTAATTTAAAAGTCAATTAGTTAAATCTGTATGGAAGGTCTCATTCAGAATTAAAGTGGCCTTAAATCAGTTTAGTTTAAATTAGTGAATTAAACTGAAGTGAATTAAGGCCACTTTAATTCTAAATGAGAATATCCACATAGGGGTTTAATGCAGTTTAACTAATTCACTTTTAATTCTAATTTTTAGTTAATCTGGATTAACTATAGAAAAGCCGTTAATTATGAATGAATACTGACTGTAGGGTTAGAAATGCCACAAAGTTTCACTATTACCACCATTTACAGAGCACAGTAAGTATGTCTTTTACTTGTGTTTTAAGTGCTAATGTCTCTGCTCCATTTATATACCAAACTGAAATTTATATCTAGAATAGATAATTTTTAAGAGCAAATCCCAAATAAGTTACCTCTTTTAACATCCCTTAAATACGTAAGGATTTAAGAAAATAATTTCAGTAATTAAAAATTAAGATATTAAATATCCTGATTTAAATCAGTTTAAATAATTAATATTATATAGGAGATGGGGGGGAAAAAAACAATTGGTGGTAAGTATCAGCTGGTTGTAACAGATACATTGAAAAAGGAGGTTCTGAGATTATGTCAATTTAAAAACTGCTGGACATTTTGGGGTTGCAAAAAACTTAGCCAAGCTAAGAGAAAAACTCCTACTGGGTAAAATGAAAGCAGGATGTAGAAAACCGGTGCAGGAAATGTGATGCTTGCATTGCAAAGACTGGGTGAGCTCTTGTGCAACAGTGTTTTGTGGAGGCACCAATAGAGTGCCTTGCTGTTGATATGCTGGGTCTTTGCCAGAGACGGGCTGTCAATGACTCTGTAGCAACTGTACTTTTAAAAGCTGCATACAGAATTATGACTAGGAATGAGTACACATACGAACCCTCTAGAGTTAGGATGAAATGCAAAGACCTTAGTTCTGATAGCTATAGAAACAGCTACAAAATCCTAGGACTATCAAATATATAATCGAAATTGAGCTGCCCATGTGTGAAGTGTTAACTCTTGTAGCAACGAAACTGCTTCATTACTATCCCCCACAAACCTAAACTGCTACAAAAACCCTCATTGAAACCAGAGAGAAATAAGCCCAACACCAAGATTAAAAGGGGTTTCCACATGCTGAAAAATGGTACAAAATGTCAAAAACTGCTATTTACAAAAGGAAGCATGTCATGCTTAAGAATCAGTAACAGTAACTTTATAATAAGCAGTTGGACCCACCAAAACTAAGTATTGCTGCCTATGTACAACAAAAGATGTTGAGCAAATTCAGGCTATGGTTTCGTGCCCTGAAATAAGTTAAGGAAATAGATTTGGACTGTGACATTATTATGGGATACAAATGTACACAGTATAATTGCATAAAATCTATTCACATGAACAGAACTTGCCTTGGGTTCCTTACTTTCAAAGGGAAGGAAAAACCATCTACTGTGAATATTGAAAAACTCTAACCTGTTACCTGGTAAAACAACTGTAGGTTACCCCCTCCCCAAACAATCAGATTTAGCAGTGTATCTAGACATTCTGTACACTAATTTCTGAAACAAATCACTGATCAGCACAATAGCAAAATGAATCTAGGCTCAGATTTCATAAAAAAAATAATTTTCAAGCTCATTTGGCAGTTAGTTTGAAATATGATGTTAATGTTTTTTTTCCACAGTTGGCTTCCTCCTTTAAGGCACAAGGGCTTGTTTAACGCTCTCTGGAACACGACTGGCATAGTAGTCAAAGTTTCTCAACGTGGCAAGGACCCCTGCTGAATTCATGTGTTTCACCTCCTTGTTATAATGAAGAGGATTTCCATGGATATCAGTCAGCTTGCCTGCAAGAAATATATGAATGTGTTATTGGTCCCAGTTCATTTAAGCACAGCACCTGAATTTTTGCTGAAATAGAACACCTACTGGTTCTCTCTTCCTTTGAATCATAGTTGTTGCAGATAGATGTAGAAGATCTAGTCTTTTATACTTGCAATGGCAAGATACAATCTCCTGATACGGTATTAAACCAATACTATACTTGATCTTAGTGTCTAGAAGAAACCTCTTACACATTAAGATGGACAGCAGAAAAGGTCAAACAACAACACTGATCTAAAGTTAATTCATATTTATTCAATCAAGCCTTTTTATAACTTATATTTTCACCAAGGCACAGTGGTTTTGTGCTGTTTGGGGGGTAGTGATTTTACTGGGTTACCCACTGGATTGATTCAAATTTGGAGCCAAATCCAGCAGCTCCAAGCAACCAGGACTACAGGATTTGGCTGGATTTGTTTTGTTGTTTTTGAAGAATTATAAGATGCTCTCCATACACACAGTGAGCATATAAAGACAATAAATGAATGATTTCAGTAATTGGGAAAAGACCTCATTGTATAGGAAAACAATAAAGCAGCAGAAGAAGCTGTCGGCTGGAAAACAGTAATAGTAAAACTGATACGTTTTAAAAAGAATGTTTTTTGTATTACCTCAAAATTAGTAACTGTACTGGGTCTTGAATAAAAGCAGACAAGGTAAATTATACTGCCTTCTACTGGCAAAACCAGGGCCTGATCCAAAGCCCTCTGCAGTCAATGGGAGTCGTTCCATTGATTTCAAAGGGCTTTAGATCAGGTCTTTAGTGCTTTGTTTTTAAATATATGCACAGGCTTTTAGGTCAAGAAGTTATCTGCCAAAAATGTGTGTAATGGAACTCACCTTGGTCCTATGAAGAGATATCCTATGATCTACCTTGTGCACATAAACATTAGAAAAATCTACTGTAACTTCAACTTCTCTCAAAAAAGAGTTATGAACATTATTGTTAACTCACCTCCCACAGCATGTAAAATAGCCTCGGGAGCACATGTATCCCACTTCTTGCACCCGGGACTAGCAAACACATAAGCAGAAGCCTTGCCTTCTATCAGCTGAATGATCTATTACAGATGAAGAATGACAGTCATTTCATATGACCCCCAGGCATGCAAAAGATAGAACAGGAACTCAATGGGAGTAGAATTGGGTCAGTTTGGTACTGCACACACTCTGATGTCCTCACCAGAAAGAGGAGTCTCAAAGGCTCCTCTTCAGGTTTTAAAAATTTAATAATCTTAAAAGTCTAGAAAAAAACATAGCTGTTACCATCCAAAGTGATCTATTTTTCATTGTCTCAAATATAATCTATAGGAAGCAAATCTAGTCCTTGGCATCCAACTCATGTATCTTGGCTGGATGCTGGGGAGATCTACCTGGGAGAATGGAGAGGAAACCATCCTCACATGCCTATAAGGCCTTTCTAGCCCTACTGCACACTTTCATATGGGTTGGGTAAGAGGACCAGAGGTTTCAGGTGGTTACAGATATTCCATCCTTTCCTTCTCCCCCAGACAAACCCTGCATGTTGCTGGGCAAGGAGCCCCAAGAGCACTGATTCCACACTATGAAGCCGGGGAGCATTCCCTATTTCCACCAAATCCTGCCTCCCCTCTTCGGCCACCAGTTCACTGCCCAGGGTCACTTTGCACCCATTGAGATAAGGATGGCATTTGGCCCTAAATTCTTTGCTCTCCTTACAAAGATGTTATATCTTACCACTAGCAAAGAAAAATATTGGATTGTCATACCTTATTTCCTGCACCTCCGACTCTCACCACATTATCAGGGTTCATTGCACTAATGCAGTCATTTACCAGCTTACTGCTGTGTGAACGGGTAGTAGTGATGATGTGTTTCCCAGCTGGCACTTCTTTCAACTGAAATCCAAAGGCACCCAAACCTAGGACACCCCAGATTGTCCTACCCAGCATGGCATCTGCTCCTGCCTACACAGAAGATGCAAAAACCAAGGCTTACCGTTACTACAGCATATAACACTTATTTAAAAAAAAAATGAACACAAAGACTTTTTATTTCATTATTAGATTCATTTTAGAGGGTAAAAGTGTAAAAGAAAAGAAGTGGGTTCTAGTAACTGAAGCACAGGGCAGGAAGACAGGACTCCTGGGTTCTATTCCCAGCTAACTGAATGACATATTGTGTAACCTTGGGCAAGTTATTTAGCTTGGGCAAGTCTGTGCTTTAGTTTATTTGCCAGTAAAATGGGGATAATAATTCTTCCTTATCCACCTCATAGGGTCTTTGTGATAATGAATTAACTTTGAAATCCTTGCATCAGATATTACAGAACTGAAAAGTATCCTCATAATTATTTCAGTGTATTATACCAACTATGAGCTTTTCTTTGCTATGCCCAATCCTAATCAGCTCCCATTCTATGTCCTTGGGCTGTCCCTGAATTTTGCTATTCTGGTGATATAGTTAATTATCTTAATCCCCGATTTTGGAGGGAGGGAAGTATGGGACTGGGTTTGGTAACACTCTGCAACTCAGCTGCAACTAACTGTGGTTACGTCTATAATACAGGCTAGGGGTGTGATTCCCCTGGGTGCGTACATGTACTTGCACTAGTTTTCATCGAGCTAGCATGAGTATAAATAGCAGTGTTGCTGCGAAAGAAAGGTAGTGGGAGTGGAGGCACAGGGGAGCCATGATGGGTCTGAAACCAGTAGGTATGTACTTGGGACAGCTAAGCCATGCCTCTGCTGTTGCTATCCACGCTACTGTGGCTACGTGTACGCATGCAGGGGAATCACACCCAGAGCTCATAGTGTAGACAAAGCCAGAGAAATACCTGGTGCCTTTTAAGGCCCCCCAGTTTAATGATGTTCCAGGATTCAGTCATCAAGTCGCACTAACAGAATGGAGTGGTTGGCATCTCCCTGTGAATCTAAACAGGTCACTTCTGCAATGTGTCCAAAGAGCCACCAGCCTGGAGCAAGATATCATGGGTTTTACATTCATGTGACAGCCTAGCTACAATACGTGTCATGTCTTGTTACCATAAAGAGTGGAGAGCTGTTGCAGTTATTTGCAGGGCCTTGGAATTCAGTTCCAAGAAACTATCATCAAGAAGCACATAGATCAAAAGTTCCTTATATTACACCATTAGCTCTAGCGAGTGAAGTGTGGTATGTATTGTAGATCAAGCACCATTGAGCAGAAAGTGTGTGAACTAGAAATGTGTCCTAGAAGTGATAGTTACAGATCATTTAGTGCTCTCAAGCAAAATCAATGCATTTATTACCTCATAGTTGTAGAAGGGTTGGTTAATAACTCCTGCTATTGCTTTACCTTCATAAGCAATTCCAATAAGAACTGTTACATGGTCGAGGAGACCTGTGAAGAAGTAATAAATACTATTCAGTAATGCTTGAAAATGGGAGTAAGAAGAAAAAAAAAACAGCCCTCATGCAAACCCACAATCCTCTATCTTTGTTCAATTACTTGAAAATATTAATAATGGCCAAAAACAGTGCCAGGAAAACCACTTAGTGACAAATCCTTCTTTGCCCAACAAAGCTAAGTGACATTTTCTTTTTCAGATATGAAGCATTTAAGAAATCCTGCTTATTCCTGACTTGTAATACATACATTTGGATCCTGCTTACATGCCCATCTAATCAAAAAAATTCCGACTTTGAGTCTGACCCTTCTCAATTACTTCACTACCCATTCTTTTCTAGTTCAGTGGTTCTCCAGGCCTCCTGTTCTGCAGGCCACTTTGTAAGTGGGAGATCACCGCATTATATATATTAGAAATAGAAAAGTACTATTATGTCACCTAGTCCCTCCCCTGCCAATGCAGATGGTTCCCTATAGTATATTTCTAGTGCTCTGACCAGTCTAACATAAAAAAAAAAAAAAAACCTCACAAAATCCTTTCCCTCCCCACATTTTCTATCTATTCTGATGGAGTCTTTTTACCACAGTTTGATAAGCTTCTAAAATGTTCTAGAAATTGTCATGTTACTTTCATTAAACTGAAATCATTTTTCAAATCAGTACAAATAAGAAAAAGAGAAGCCAACCTTCCGTGTATTCTTTGGTCCCATCCAGAGGATCAACCCACACAACAAGCTTAAAAAAAAAATAATAATAATAATAATAATAATAATGCACACAACACAAGAGGAAACACAAATCACGGAAATTAAACTATTGGTATAATAGTACTAGTTAGCAGCAGTGAGAGGAGGATAAACCTCACAATTGTTAAGAAATCTGACACTTAAAGTGCAAAAAAATTACATTAATGTTCATAAATGTTTATCATATATAGGACTGGACAGCTCCAGGGATTTGTAAAGAGATATTAGACTTTTCACCAGCTATTCAGCTGGCTATGTAACTTGGATTTGGTGAGCTCAGTCCATTTTGTATGGAAAGACGTCCACATTTAAAACCTAATATCAACCCACCCACTTGCACTAATCAGCAATGTTGCTTGCAATCTCAGTAGAGATGTCAAGGATTAATAAGAGTTACTGTAAACTTGTCTCTCTCACCAACTGAAGTTGTCCAATAAAAGATATTACCTTGCCCATCTTGTCTCTCAAATATTCTGGGACCAACAGGATTACAACAACACTGCATACAACGATTCAATGGGCATGGAAACTAAACTATCCTCTCACTCCTAAAGGTGGTCCCTTTAGTATAGATCTGATACACATTCATGGAACATTACAGAGAAACCTGCAGTTCTGCTGCCCATGCTACACCCATTCTGTGGATAATTAGAGGGCTTCCATTTTTAGGGCTGTCACTTTGCCACCTTCAATTTAAAAAGGAAGTATTTTCACTTAAATCAAAAGATAAGCTGACAACATCAAAATTACCTGTTTTATTTCTTGGATCTTTCTTAGATAAGACTAATAAGCTATATGGGGATATAAGAAAGTAAGCGTAACATGTTTATTACCTCTTCCTCTTTAATGGAACTGTATTGTGGAGGAAAAGCTTTCTTCAGTATTTCCTCACACTGACCGTCCTCAATCAACTCCTCATCTACATCATGAGAGGGCAGGTCCTGACAAAAGGACACAAAGACACTAACAGAAACAGGCAACAGCCAGAGAGCACTGTGTTGAGCCTTTGCAGCTCCCAAATATGGTTCCATTCCTAGCACTGCAAATACAACGGAGCAAAGTGATACAGCCACTCCCCAGGTTTTAGCCATGTGCCAGCCTTTATCTTTATCCCAGATTAACTTGCCCTGTTGCAGGCGTGAGAGGGGGATGTGGGATTTGCCTTCCAATCACTGGATTTGCTGGCAATTCATCTGATGAGGCTATCGCTGAGGGAAGGTGTATTGGGAGGGAAGATAAAAATTAAAGAGAACACATGGCTCTCTTAAGCCTGCAAATGACAAACGTAAATCATAAGTGGCAAATTACATTTTCAAGATGTTAGATAAACAGAGTTCTCACCTCTTCTCCAATGATTGTCACTCGGGGGAATTTCCGTGCCAGTGAAGAGCAAATGCTCATTTGTACCAGTCGGTCGGCTTTAGTCTGCAAGTCATTGGGTCCACACTGCAAAGGA